ACACACACACACACACACACACACACACACACACACACACACACACACACATACATCCAAAACGTTAAAAGAAGGATAAAATGTGACTGAAAAAATATGTGAGATCGGTAACAATAGATTTAACTAAACATAGTTTACACTTATTAAACTTTACTTCTGCCTATTTCAGACATCAACAAAAATCACATCTGCGTTTTGATTTAATCGTACACGTTAAATTAACTCCCAATTAAATGGCTAATTGTAAATGAAGATCAAAGGGGACATAATTCTTTTGAGTGTTATGTTCTACATACTGTTAGCTAGTTAGATTCTTCGTTTATTGGTTATCCTAAACAGTGTCCAACATTGTATAACACCGTTGTGCTGCACTGTAGGGAGTTGACATAAAGTAAAAAAGTGTTATGGTTTGGACATCGCCAGTTTTTCCTTTATTGGCTTCAAATGGTTCACGCCCCTATGGGCACACTCTCGATTATTTCAGAGACCTCACATCTAGGTGGCTCGGACGGAGTCGCAGACAACCAGGGCGTCCATGAGGGAGCCAATGAGAAGAGAGTTGTTGTAGACAGCGCCAACAGAAGAGCCCGTAATGAGGTCTCCGTGGTCATAGAACAGCTCTGCCCAGGTGCCGGCTGAAGCCTACTCCTATCGATTTTAGACCACCAAAGAATCTTTAACGTGCGCAACTTGCACACGGGACCTCCGATTTTTTTTCCTTTGTCCGAGAAGGCTAGATGTAGATCTTTCCTACCACAAAATCAGGGGTGTGGCTGAAAGACAGCAGTAAGAAGGAGCCAAGGAGTAGCAGTAGAAAGGCTTCAGAAAGAGTCAGAAGCCTAGAGGAGGGAGCAAAGGAGGTGAGGGGGTGGGGGCAGAAAGTGGAGACGAAAGCAGAGGACAGAACATTGCTAGAGAGCAGGAAAACAATTTTAGAAATAATGTTTTCCCGTGGCTCTTGGAGCCTCACAATAAAACCTTTATACGCAGGAGAGAGTATGGAGACGTAGTGTGTCAACCCGTGGAGGTGGGTGGACCAAATTTGGGTGGGGCTTAGGTTGTTTTCCTCTTCTTTATCACAAAATAGCAAACAATAAGAACTAAACAGTGATGGTCTTTCAATAATCACAGTGAGCCACGGCATTTTGAGAAACATTCAAACGAGAAGAGCCACGTTTGTCTTCCATCTCTTTGATCTAAATTAAATTCTTCTGGATGGTGGGAACGAAGCCGTTTCCCTTCCAAATTTCCTCAAATTCTATAATACGGTTCGACGTGATTACTGTCAAATCTCTGCGGCACAAACACAAACATGAACTAACAGCACTACAAAAATATTCTGTCTGTGAACTGGATATGGCTGTGTATTCGCGAAAAGGTGAACGTACCTAACAAAGGTCCAATGAGCACATAGGTAACTGTGCCCCTGGGGTAAAGTGCCTCGTAAACTTTCACCCCATTGTCAGGGCTAGGACAGCGTGAGCCCTCCGTACAATGTTCTTTTTTTCAAATCTTCTAACCTTTTCACAAAAAGAGTTTCGTTAAGGACGGGCTGTGGGAACAGGCTTATCCTTTGCTGAGCCCTAAAGACGTTTGGTTGGCTGTTATTATTAAGTTCCTATAGTTGCAAGCGGTGACAGTGCAAACCGCCAAGTTGGTCACTGAGTGTTCAGTGCAGGCGATCATAACGGTTTCAAAGGCTTATTTCGTTATTTAAGAAACTTTCATTTACTACGGGATAGAGTTGGGG